GTTGGTGTTGTTTGGTAGAAAAACTATGTTACACCCATTTTCAAAAGGAAACACTGTATGCTACCTCACTTTAAAGAACATTATAAAGATTGGAGTACTTCATAAGAGTTTTATATAATAACAATTATTATAAAAGATAATTTCTGTGTGAAAGTAAATAATGTATAATAGAATGTTAATCATCATCCATCTATCATATCCAGTGCTTACAGTTGGATATTACAAACATAGTAGTGGTTAGACACTATTTACATTATCAAATTGGATAAAGCACAACTGCTATGAGTAAGATGGTAAACTGTAAGTTGTATTAGTTTATTTATCTCACACCAGATCAGAAATTTCCTCGGGATTTTTTTGAAATAATATTATTTATTCATTTATCTTTAACACCGATCATCTATTATAAAGTTTAATTAGACTAGTTTGAGTGTCCTTTAAGCTTCAATATGATGTATTAAGAGAATTGCTCTTCTGATAGTAACAGAAGTTTTAGCCAACAAAGAAAGATGAATATTTCGTGGTGATACAAACCAATGTAATTTTCAAAAGGATTAGAAAAATTGGTTTGTTCAAAGTGATTGATTACATGTCAATATTTACATTTTTTCCAGCCACCATCAAGACCAAAAATGATAGTCAGCCTCTGTGCTCTTCGAGTAATATTCATCCCCCTTTTCATGTTGTGCAACGCACATCCTCGAACGCTTCTACCAGTGTTGTTCAAATCTGACATCTGCTTCGTCATCTTCAACGTGATATTCGGTCTTTCCAACGGTTTTCTTTGCACTGTTGTAATGACACAGGGTCCACAGTAAGTAATGTAAATAACATTTAAGGTCACATTTGACTTTTACAACAGTTTTTATTGCTCTATTGTAACGACACAAGGTCCACAGTAAGTAACAAAGTAAAAAACACGTAAGGTGATATTTGCACTTCAGACAGTTCCCTGATAAAGAGTCAGGCCTAAAAAAGAATTGTTTTTACTTTTAAGCGTTTTGAAAAACGTAGAATGTTTGTCGTTTGTAAAACGAATCATGTTATAAATATATAAAAAGTGACGGTTTTTATTCATAAATCAGTGAATAAATACAGAAACATTTAGTTTAAGTAAATTCTGAAAAATAATTGGTATATAATAATATTACTATGACAAACCAAAAAAACTGTTAGAAAACAATATCAAACCCCCACTTCTGTTCATTTATATGCATTTCAAGCATCTAATGATCAGTCGTGTGATTTGAAATAACCGAATATTTGGCACAGCTGGGTTTCCATCTCTGGCAGAGGTGGGTTTACTTCTTTAGAGTTGAATATTTGGCAGAGGTGAGTTTTGCAAAGGTGTATGTGAGATGTTCACGTGGGGATTGAGCTTTCTTTGTGCGAGAAATATTTTCCTCAAATGTGAGGAAAAAAGGTAATTTAATCTTTTGTGAACCCTTTACATTTACTAAATATTATATGCAAAATGAAAACAGATAGTATAAAGAGAAATCATAATCATACAAAAAATGCAAAATAATTTCAAAAGTGAATTTATCACTTTTAGAAATAGTAACATGTACTTGTCTAAAAAATTAGAGTTCCTGCCACTTGAACAACCAAATTTATCAATAATGCTGTCCATGTCATTTGATGAACTTTTATTTGCTAGACTTCTCTCAGTGTTTATAAGTGCAAGTGAAAATAACCTCTCTTGAGCTATGGTTGAACGTAAATACGTCTTCATTCGACGTAAGGCACTGAATGATCGCCTCGTTGGAAGAATTGATGCAATCTTGTAAAACACAGGAAACACATGGAAAAAATCTTTATTAAAGAATTTTGAACGACCTCAGCATCAGATTTTACAGAAGAAATAGAAGTTTTCCTACTCTTGTAGTTTTCATATATTTCTTTCTCACTCCTCACACACTCTCAATATCTCCTCATCAAGTTTATAAAACTTTGCAATAGTTGCATAGTTGCAAAACTAACATCCCAACATGCCCAAGAAATAGTTTAGTTATTCTTGTCAAACCTAAATCCCATTTCTGCCATAACATAGGCTGTCAAAGTAGATATTGCCATTGTTTGTTTGTTTGTTTGTAATTAAGCACAAAGCTACACAATGGGCTATCTGTACTCTGCCCACACCTGGTATCGAAACCCGAATTATAGTGTTGTAAGTCCGCAGACATACCCCTGTGCCACTGGGGGGCGATATTGCCATTATAATAACATTTTACATCAGTGGTAAATGATTCAGTGTCATTCAGTTCACCAAACAGAGCTTGAAGACGTCTTGGAGATTTCTTTTCTAATAGTAGCTTTATTGTCGGCGAAACTTGCCTGAATGTTCATAAAAGGGCCAATCTGAGGAGGCTTCAGCCTCTCCCCCCCATCCCGTACGCTTATGTGGGTTTACATTCTTACAGTTGAATATATGGCAGAGATGTGTTTCATATTTACAGTTGAATATTTGGCAAAGATTGGTTTACATATTTACAGTTCACGATATAGAAGTAAAACGTTGTTGTCAGATTGTCCTTTGGAGAGGATATTTCACTCTTTCTGGAGTCACTTGGCAGGATAATATTCGTCTTTCAAGACATGTTCAATGAGTCCGAAGTCTGATGAACATGCAACCTCTCCATTTGGTAAAAGAAAGGTTTGACCAGTTTAACACAAAGGCTGAAGCAGAAGAGAATTGTGGCATGATACACGGTCGAAAAGAACGTGGTTTTCAGAGATGACGTCACATAAGGTCGAGTAGGACACGATCTCTGTAATGTGGTTTTTGGTGAAAATCGGAACATCCACTAATGATTGTTTTTTACCCCACAAAATTAGGTTTTCTCTTCTGTAAAACGATTAATCTCCACATGATGTTCTTCTACTAGACACATTTTTGGTACCATTACAGTCAATCTGCTTTGTACCTTGCTGTGCATGTGAGCCTGTTTCCAGGCTCACCATGTATGACTGTGAACATACAACCCACTAATAATAGCCAGAATGATCAGACAGAGATCACCTGCTTGTGTTATAAAGGATAGCCTGCCTTGTCCATTTGTCCAAACAACTTTACTATTGATACGTTGTAGAGACAGTTGATATCAATCAATGCACAAAAAATAGATTGGTCATTCTTGTCAAACCGAGATGTCATTTCTATAATATATTAACTTGAACCTAGTTCCTCGATGTCAAATTCAAGTGCATCATTAATATTCTTTCAATGAACAACACTTCTAGAAACTGTAATAGCCATTTTACAACAGCTTACTGTGATTGGCCAGCTTCCATTCGTCTGATAAGTCTCCGCATGAGTGAAACATTCAAATGTCTTCTTTGAGATCTAGCCATGGTCCATGGGCAAACTGTAAAACTATAACCATATCAAAATGACAATTGAGACAAAATTAAGAAAGACTGCGACAAAATGCACAGACGGAATATCAATCAAAAGCAAGGTTTTTGAAGACCAATACACAAGATATAAGATGAATGACCAATCAGAGACAAGGTTATTGAAGACACCAAACAAGGCACGGGTTATAGAAGACCATTACACAATTCAAAGGCTGAATGACCAATCAAAGAAGAGGTTATGGAAGACCACCACACAAAGCAAAGGTTGAATGACCAATCAGAGAAAAGGTTACGGAAGATCACGGCACTAAGACAGGCTGAATGACTAATCAGAGACAAGGTTATTGAAAATCATAACACTAAGCAAAAGCTATATGACCAATTATTTTCACTTTACATTTAGCTGATGACATCATCTTTCTAGTTATTACATAATATACGCTAGTTGTGTGCTTTTTTTACATAATTTCCTGTAGCAGCATCACGATTGAGCAATGCTATCAGTCAATGCACAAAAAATAGTTTGGTCATTCTTGTCAAACCGAGATGTCATCTCTATAATATATTAACTTGAACTTAGCAATATATTAACTTGAATGTAACTAGTTAAAGTCAGATTCGAATATTAAGTACTGCCGCACGTTTTATGTGTCGAAATCCAATTGTAATCGAGGTTCACTCACTTGACCACATGACAAATAATGGATGCGGAAGATAACAACTTTAGTTGCTTTATAACACATCATAAAGAGCACTCAAGTATTCACTTCCTGTTTGATTTTAAACATATGATGCAAGGCGATAATCGTAGTATTTCAGTTCGTCTGAATTATTTACTGTATATTGTATTGAAATAGGCAATGACAATGCCTTTTAATTCGCGAGTGAATAATCAAACTCGGCGCAAAAGACAAAGTGAGCTTAATTAATCCTGTGATCTGTGTCGGTTCCACAACTTGAATGTTCTTACATTTCACAGACTAAGTAAAACCAGATAATCAGTTACGAATCGGTCAGACAAGCCAGTTAATTTTTTTTTCTAATCTAAGCACCTTTGTTTCATTAATTGATAACATTCTTTATTTTACCTTGTCCATTTCCAAAAGATTTGTTTTTTGTTGTTGTTTTTTTTTTAGCTGCTAAAGTTGCCCATTTGTATTACATTTGTTTATATAACTAGAGGCATTATGTAATTCAAATAATTTGTTTCTGTAAGTGGTAGCATTGTATATTTGTAATACTATATTTCTGGAAGTGATGGCGTTGTGTATTTGTAGTACTTTGTTTCTATACCTGGTGGCGTTTTCTGCTTAGTAGTATTTTGTTCCTGTAATTGATGGCGTTGGGTATTTGTAGTCCTTTACTTTTGCAACTGGTGGCTTTGTGTGTTTGTAATACTTTGTTTTCGCAACTGATGGCGTGTTGTGTTTATAGTGTGTTTTTTGTAACAAGGGTAATTGTGTATTTGTAGTCATTTGTTTCTGTATCTTGTGTAATTGTCCAGTTGTAATGCATTGTCTATATAACTTATTATTTTGTACATTTCTATATTATATTTCTCTATGTAACTGGTGGGGCTGTACATGTATGTATTATATTTGTCTATGTAACTGGTGTGGTTGTACATTTAAGTATTATATTTGTCTATGTAACTGGTGTGGTTGTACATGTATGTATTATATTTGTCTATGTAACTGGTGTGGTTGTACATTTAAGTATTATATTTGTTTATGTAACTGGTGGGGTTGTACATGTATGTATTAT